GGCAGCTGGACGATATGTCGAGAGAAAGGATGTCACCTTGGGTCCTAACAAAATCCAGCTCTGCCCAATGGGAGACCCAGTGAGACTGGCATTTTTTCTGCACTGTGAGTTAAGTGAGGTTTTGGTCTATAATTTGAATGATAAATCTCATCTCTATTTTTTTTAAGTTTGTATTTTAAAGTAATCTCTACATCCAACGTGGGGCTCAAACTCACAACCCTGAGATCAAGAGTCACATGCTGTACTCACTGAGCTGGCCAGATACCCCTCTTTCTCAGCTCTATGATTTTAATGATTTTTTAAAAGAAGTCCTTTGGACTGATTTCTTTTTTTTTTAATTTTTAATGTTTTATTTATTTCTGAGAGAGAGAGAGACAGCATGAGCAGGAGAGGGTCAGGGAGAGAGGGAGACACAGAATCCGAAACAGGCTCCAGGCTCTGAGCCAGCTGTCAGCACAGAGCCCGACACGGGGCTCAAACCCACAAACTGTGAGATCATGACCTGAGCCGAAGTCGGACGCTTAACCGACTGAGCCACCCAGGCGCCCCCCTTTGGGCTTATTTCTGTACTGAATCTGACCCTACTCCTCTTCAGATCTGTCTGGTAACAGATTATGAAAACTGACCTGATGATGATAGTGTCATTTCCTTTCCTTTCCCTTGTAAACAGAACTTAGCCAGTAAGTCTAGTCCCAAAGATTTTGTTTTTGTTTTGTTTTTTCAGTTCTGCCTCTAAAGAACCAGACTTATAACAACATTTTATAACTATAAAAACATGGCAATAATGCCAATTTCATAGGTATTATAGGGACCAATTCTAAAATGTTAGGTAACAAGTCCAATAAAATTTTTCCCTTTAAAAATTACCATTATGTTTCCTTTTTTTTTTTTTTTAATGTTTTATTTCTAGGAGAGAGAGAGAGAGCGAGACAGTGTGAGCAGGGGAGGGTCAGAGAGAGAGGGAGTCACAGACTGAAACAGGCTCCAGGCTCTGAGCTGGCAGTCAGCACAGAGCCCGACGTGGGGCTCGAACCCACAAACCGCGAGATCATGACCTAAGCGAAAGTCGGACGCTTAACCGACTAAGCCACCCAGGCGCCCCTATGTTTCCTTTTTTAAAAAAAAATTAAGGGACACCTGGGTGACTCAGCCAGTTAAGTGTCCAGCTCTTGATTTCGGCTCAAGTCATGATTTCACGGTTTGTGGGTTCGAGCCCCACATCAGGCTCTGCACTGACAGCACGGAGCTTGCTTGGAATTCTCACTCTCTCTCGCCCCTCCCGCACTAGTGCATGCACATGCCCTCTCTCTCTCAACCTGGAGCCTGGTTCAGATTCTGTGTCTCCCTCTCTCCCTGCCCCTCTTCCAGTCACATTCTCTCTCTCTCTCTTTTTCTCCCTGCCTCCTTCCCTCCCTCAAAAATAAATAAACATTAAAAAAATTAAAAAATAAAAGAATAAAATACTTAGGAACAAACTTAACCAAAGAGGCAAAAGCTTACTGAAAAAGACCAAATGTTGCTGAAGGAAATTTTAAGACACAAATAAATGGACATCTTGTGTTTATGGATTGAAGTAATAATATTGTTAAGATGTCAATACTACCCAAAGCAGTCTGCAGCTTCAGTGTGATCTCTATCAAAATCCCAATGGCAGTTTTTGTGTGTGTGTGTGTGTAAATAGAAAAATCCATCCTAAAATGCATATGGAACCTTAAGGGATCTCAAATAGTGAAAGCATTCTTAAAATAGAAGAACAGGGGCACCTGGGTGGCTCAGTCGGCTAAGGGGCCAACTTCAGCTCAAGTCATGATCTCACGGTTCATGGGTTCAAGCCCCACGTTGGGCTCTGTGCTGACAGCACAGAGCCTGGAGCCTGCTCCGGATTCTGTGTCTCCCTCTCTCTCTGCTCCTCCTCTGCTCACACTCTGTGTATGTGTCTCTCTAAAAAAAAAAAAAAAAATTTTTTTTTAAAACATTAAAAAAAGAAAGAAGAACAGAATTGGAGGTTTCACACTTCCTGGTTTCAAAACTTTTTAGAAAACTACAGTGATCAGCTTTCTAAAAAGAACAGTGTGGAACTAGCATAGGAACAGACACATAAACCAAAGGAATAGACCAGAGAGCCCAGAAATAAACCCAGGTAAAGAGGTCAAATGATTTCAACAAGGATGCCAAGATCCTTCAATGAGGAAATGACAGTCTTTTCAACAAACAACGTTGGGCAAACTGGATGTCCATGTGCAAAAGAATGAAGTTGAACCTGTACTTTATACCATCTGCAAAATTAACTCAAAGTCTATCTTAACTCAAAGGGAGGGCTAAAACTATAAGGAAAACTTAGGAGAAAAGCTTCCTGACACTGAAATTGACAATGGTTTCTCGGCCATAATACCAGAAATATAGACAACTAAGGAAATAGTAGTTAAATTGGAGTATATCAAAATTGAAAACTTCCCTGCATCAAAGGACACAATCAACAGAGTGAAAAGGCAACCTATGGGAAAAATATTTGCAAATCATATGTCTGGTGAGGGGTTAATATCCAGAAAATATAAAGAACTCCTACAACTCAACAACAATAACAACAACAACAACAACCCCAACCTATTAAAATGGGCAAAGGACTTGAATGGATATTTCTCCTAAGATCTACAGGTGGCCAAGCACATGAAAAGATGTTCAAGGGGCGCCTGGGTGACTCATTTGGTTAGGCGTCTGACTCTGATTTCAGCTCAGGTCAGGATCTCACAGTTGGTGAGTTTGAGCCCCATGCCAGGCTCCGCGCTGACAGCATGGAGCCTGCTTGGGATTCTCTCTCCCTCTTCCTCTGGCCCTCCCCTGATCATTCTCTCTCTCTCTCTCTCTCTCTCTCTCTCTCTCTCAAATAAATTAACTTAACAAAAAAGAAAAGATGTTCAACAGCACTGATCATCAGGGAAATGCAAATCAAAACCACAACGAGACACCACCTCACACTCATTAAGATGAATGTGATCAAAAACAAGACCAACAAAGCCCCAGAAAATAACAAGTATTGGTGAGGATGCTTTGAAATTGGAGCCCTTGTACCCTCCTCCTGGGAATGTAAAATGCAGCTGCTGTGGAAAACAGTGTAGAGCACCCTCCAAACCTTACACATAGCACTCCCCTGTCATCCAGCAATTCCACCGCTGGGTATATGCCCCAAGAAGTAGAAGCAGAGTCTTGAAGAGTAGCCAAAAGGTGGAAACCACCCAACTTCCACCCACAGTTGATCAGAGAAACAACCTGTGTTATATCCATACAATGAATTATCACGCAGCCTTAAAAAGGAGGGACTTTCTGACACAGGCTGCAGGGTGAATGAACCTTGAGGCCATTATGCCAAGTGAAATAAGTCAGTCACATGAAAACACTGCATGATTTCCCATACGAGCCGCCTAGTCAGACTCCTGGAAATAGAAAGTAGAGTGGAGGTTGCCAGCGGCTGAGAGGGAGTGGAGAATGGGGAGTCAGTGTTCACTGGGGGACAGAGCTTCAGTCGTGACAGATGGAAACTCCTGGAGGTGGCTGGCAGTGACCATCACAGAACATTGCGAAGGTACTTCATGCCACTGGGCGTGCGCGCAGGAATGGCGAAGAGGCTGAATTTTATGTGTATTTTATCACAATTTAAAATGACAACTTAGTGGCGCCTGGGTGGCTTAGTCGGTTAAGCGTCCAACTTTCGCTTAGGTCATGATCTCGTGGTTCGTGGGTTCGAGCCCCGCGTCGGGCTCTGTGCTGACTGCCAGCTCAGAGCCTGGAGCCTGTTTCAGTCTGTGACTCCCTCTCTCTCTGACCCTCCCCTGCTCACACTGTCTCTCTCTCTCCTAGAAATAAATAAAAAAAAATTAAAAAAACAATAAAGAAATAAAATGACAACTTAATTCCATTTAGAAATGAAGCAACGCAGTGAATCGTCCTTTGTTGACTGAGAGTGACAAAGATAAGTAAAATGAGCAACTCTGTGGGCTGGAGAGGATTTCGGAAGAATGGAACTTCATATCCTGTTCTTGTTCCAACCCTTCCTGAGGGGAGCAATCTGCAAGATGTATCCAAATGTCAAAGATGTAGCCTTTGACCAAACAAGGGGCTCCTTTAATATCCTGCCCTTCCGTGCTGCGCTCCCTGGCTCTCAGCAAAGTCCTGCAGCTTCAAAGACTGCCCTGGGACACGAAGCAAAAACACACACTGCAAACCGGGGTGGGGTGCTGGCAGGGTGGGTCCAGAACCTGGCACAGAACTGCCCAGTCGCGGGGCTGACGCTAGAGGGCGCCGAGGGGCGTGCGGTGGGGCGCCCGAGGTGCTGCGGCAGGAGGGAGGGTGCAGGTTCAGGCAGCAGGTGCCGCCGCTGCAGACGCCCAGGGGAGCGCATTCCTTCTATTTTTCCAATTAAGTGTGAGAGGCCCCCACCTGAAAGCTGCGGGTGGGGCAGTTAGAGGAGGAAGCACACCGTGTGAAGAATTATCTAGAAGGACAGGCCTCATGAGAAATCGGGCAGGACAGCCGGTTGGTGCTAAGGCTTTTCAGGGCTGGTGGTCGTGAGTTGTGAGCACCCTTCTGCCTGGGTGTGAGCTGGGCATCAGCGGCGCCCAGCTGCAGGAGGACAGGACCAGAGGGACCCAACCCTGACCGTTATCTGGATAAGGTGGCATTGGGAAACAAGGGGAAGCTGAAGATACAAGGCAGCGAGGGTAACACCAGCTACCTCACAGACCCGTGCTGAGGACAGAACGCCATGGTGCACAGAGCTGACCGGGAGTGTGCAGGGGCTAAACGTAAATCCGTGCCCACCCTTCCTTTCCCTTCCCGTCCCATCATTCCCCGCAAGCACGGAAGCTGTGATTCCTGGGTGGAAATGGACCCACCCCAGCCCCCACCCTTCGGAGGGCGACTGTCCAGTAGCAATGGGGGCGACTCCCAGCATCCCAGCCCGCTCCCCAGAGCCCATCCCACCCCAGCCTCCTTGCCCATTGCAGAGATTGGTGTGGGCACCACCGGCTTCGGAATCTTCTTCATCCTCTTTGGAATACTCCTGTACTTTGATTCGGTGCTCCTGGCCTTCGGAAACGTGAGTCGCCTAGCCTGTGTCCCCTCTGCCACCAACCTACCTGAGGTCTCTATTGCCAGGAAGGTCAGCCCCGAGTTCAATCAGATTGTGCCCCTCCAGGGGTCAGGACCATCAAGCCTGGGCCAGTGAGGGTGGCTGGGGATGGACAGCGAGGCCTGCTGGGTGTGGAGAATCTGAGAACGTGGATTCTGGTGCCAAGCTCTGGGCGAGGCCCTGCAGGTACCACAATGAATAGGCTGCTGTCTCTGCCATTGGAATGCCCCTGTCTAGGGGTAGGGACATAAAACGAACGTCTGTGACAGAGAAGGAAGGCAGGGGCAGCCATAGAGTCACAATAAGAGAAGTGCTTGTTTAATCAAGAACAAGGTGCCTGGAGGAAGAAAGCTGCCCAGCTGGAGAAGGATGAAAAGGAATTTGGAAAGACAATGGGTGTGGAGGGGGGTGAAGCGCTTCCAGGCAGATGGCACAGCAGGAGAAAAGGTATGGGGAAGGGGAGGGAAGGCATGGAACATGCTGGAAGAAAGCCAGGGAGTTAAATTTGATGACACTTGGACGCTCCTAAGAGACCATTAGGAGCCAAGCTGAAGATAGTGACTGAGCCAGACAGTGGAGCCCTGATTGCTGGGTATGGCTGCCTAACCTATTCATGCCTCAGTGTTCACCTCTGTAAAATGGAGATTTTCGTAAAATGGAGATTTTCTATTCCATCCTCCTTGGGAGGTGTGACAAGAAATAAAGTCATATATGGAAAAGTGCTGGGGATCCGAGAAGTCAGGTTGAATTGAAGCAGCGGGAGACCTTCAGAGGTCTCCTTGTCCATCCCCCTGTCTCCGGGCTGTTCTGTTCCTAACAAGCCAAGATTAGTCAAGGCTCTGGGAGTTTGCTACTTTGCGGGGCCACCCTCTCTGATCAGTCTCTTCCGGAAGAGTTAGCGCGTCCTGCCACCAAGCCCCTGCACCAAGCCCGGGGCTCCTTGGTGGTGGTGGGGGTGTGGGGGTGTGGCTCTCATGCTTCTCTCCCTCCCTCACCCGCAGCTGCTATTCCTGACCGGCCTCCTGCTCATCATCGGCCTGAGGAAGACGTTTTCCTTCTTCTTCCAGAGGCACAAGCTCAAAGGGACCAGCTTCTTTCTGGGGGGTGTGGCCATTGTGCTGCTGCGCTGGCCCCTCCTGGGCATGCTCCTGGAAGCCTATGGATTCCTTAGCCTCTTCAAGTGAGTGCAGGTCTCTTTCCCTTGGATGAGCCCCACCAGGGCCTCTGAGTAGCTGAGATCACCACCCCCACCCAGGTTTGGCCAGCACGACCAACGGTGTACGCAGAAACGGGGACTTTATCCTGCGGACGGCAGTGTGGAAGGATTGGAAAGGCAGATGGGCATCAGGCAGACCCACAGAAAGGCCCCTCCAACAGTAGGATGAAGGACAAATAGGAGGGGTCGGCCCATCCGCCTGCAAACATTGAGCACCTACTGTTTGCCTGGCTCTATGCCTGCCCTCAAGGAGGAGACACAGGGCCTGCCTTCGAGTTGATCCAGCAGGGAGGAACGGCAGTGAACTAGCATTTGCCGGGCCCCTCATGTGCCCCTAGCACGTTCACAACCGTCACCTCACTTTGTCCTTACAACCTGCTGCAGGATGGCTCTCTGCAGTTGAGGAAACCTGAGCTCAGAGAGGCTACCTGCCCCCTGCCCCCCACTGCCCGGGGTCTCACACAAACTATGCGGCCGATCTGGACTGGATCCAGGCGTGCCTGGCCTGTCCAGTGTCAGCCTGGCCTGCCGAAAGGCGGGGTGGAGGTCAGCAAAGATGTGTGGCCACTGCCAAGGCCAGGGAGGTGTCCTAGACGAAGGACCCGAGACAGGCCCTGGGGACAGGCCAGCTTTAAGAGGAGACTGGAGGCTGCTTAAGGAGAAGACAGGATGTCGGGGAAGGTGGGGCTAGGGAGGGAGGACTCCCAGGGTCTCTGGGACACTGTGGAGAACAGCGGTGGCATGGAGAAGACGTTCTAGAAGAAGCATGGCTACGCCCTCACGGGAGGGAGCCGGGGTCAGGATCCCGGCTTCTCATAAAGCCCTCCGTTTGCTCAGTGCAGCCTTGAAAACACTTTGCTCAGCCTGAATGCTCTGGACCTCCTAGACATTGTATAATGTGGCTTCGAGAAACTAAATTTTCTCACACACGCTCGGCCATCTACCTATTTAATATTCAAACGTGTCATTATTTAGATAGTCACAAACACAAAAAGTCCCTACTGCACGCCAAATGCAGACCTAGGTGTGGGGATGTGGCACCAAACAGGGAGAAACTTCCCGAAGTACTTGCAACCTAGTCAAGAAGAAAATTTCTGACAATAGTGACCATTTATTGAGGGATTAGAAGGGTGAGTGGGGCCGACGCACATTCAGTAGCTCCAGCCAAACGTAAACCTTGACAAAGACCCCTTTCAACAGCATTGTTGGTGCGAGAAAACCAAACTCAGAGCGATCCAGGACCTCAGAGATGCCGGTGAACCTCGAGGAAATGAGGCCCAAGGAAAGGAAATGAATAGCTCAGCCAGCATCCAGATTTCTAACCCCCTCGCCTCTCCGCACACACAGGGCTCCCCCCCCACCCCCTGCAAACCTTGGTGTCTCCAAGCCCTTTGAACAATGGTGCATATGGACCTGGCCAGACCTTGCCAGTGTGTCTGACAAGAGTGGGCAAGCCAAGGGCAAAGGCGGGTGGGTCTACGCATGAGAGTGCTGAGGCACCAGGGGAAAACACACATGAGCACCGCCTCCAGCACCGACCTGTGCGGGGAGCCCAGGAGATCTGCAGTACCCGCCTGGTCCAGACAGGAGAAGACAGTAACAATAATACAAACGCTTCTTTTTTTTTAAATTATTTTTTTAATGGGCAGGAGAGAGAGAATCCCAAGCAGGCTTCACACGATCTCAGCGCAGAGCCCACCACGGGGCTCAAACTCACCAACCATGAGATCACAACCTGCACCAGATGCTTAAACAACTGGGCCACCCAGGCGCCCCCAATCACTTCTTGAACATTTCCTTGTATAAGGCCCTAAGGTGTAGATACTATTATTAACCTCATTTACAGCTGGAAACTGAGATTCAGAGAAGTTAAGGACTTGGCCCACGTTTATACAGCAAATGGCAGAGCCAAGATTTGAACCCAAGGAGCCTGACCCTGGCCCCTTTATTCTTAACCACTTCACATAGTTGCCCCCCCAAAACCCAGGGGGTGCAAAACCAAGCCTGCCCCAAGGGCCCGGTTTCCCAGGAACCAAAGCTGGAGCCTTTAGGTGGGTCTCAGCCTGGACCCCTTCCCCCTTCCCCTCCTCCCCCAGAGCCATCACTGACCCCTCCCTCCCATCCTCTGCTCTTAGGGGCTTTTTCCCTGTCGTCTTTGGCTTCCTGGGCAATGCTTCTGACATCCCCTTCCTGAGTGCGGTAAGTGGATTATGCATGGGGCTTGGTGGTGAGGGGCCCTGGTGAGACTGACGCCCCAGTGCAATGGAGCCTTCCCCGTCTCCCCTCAAGCCCCTTTCCCTTCAACTCCTCTTCCCCTCCCCACACCTTCTCCATTTGACAAGAACAGATGAGGAAAGGGCACCGGGAGCTTTGTGCCTCAGGCGTAGGTATTGAGAAAAGAGGCTATTCCTAGCTCCTAATTAGCGCCAAAGACACAGATTCAGAGAGTCTCAGTGACCCAGCCATAAAGTGCCAGAGATTTCTGGGGAGCTGGCTGAGTCTGGGCCCCAGGCGCAGAGAGGATGTGTGACAGCCAGTGACAGATTCTGTCCTCTCCTGGAGGCACGCACGGGGCAGTGGTCCCCAGGCCCTCCCTCTCCCTTTCTCTAAAACCTATTTTCTGACAGAACAGGAGCTGAGAAGCTGAGGGAGGCCCTTCAGCCAGCTGGCTCATCCCTGTGGCCCCCTCTCCCTATCTGTACTTGGCCTGCTCCTGGCTCTCAAGGCCGCTCCACGGTAACCTTGATAAGGAGTGTGCTCCTGACTCTTTGTCTGAAATAATGATTCTTGGCTCCCACAGCTGTTCCGGAGGCTTCAAGGCACCAGCTCAATGGTCTGAACAGCAGAGACGAGCTCCTTGAACTTGGATCATTGATTGAGGGGGCTTGGAAAGGAATTGGGGCCTGCCCCCACCCTGCAGTGACTCATCTCCCCATCATCCCCAGCCCTCTCCAAGTCGAGAAGAAGAACAGAGTTGAATGACTGACCTCAAATTCCAAGTCATCTCAAAAGGCTGTTGGCAGGGCGAGGGGCAGAGATCTGGGACCCCACCGCGACCGGACCAGGGGCTGGTTTTACATACTGCCTTGTATTTATGGGAGGAAAGCAAAGATTAAATCCCCAAGCTGTGAGTGTGTCTGAGACTCAGAGTCACTGCCTCTCTAGCCTGTCAAGTCCAGTGTCTGACTCAGGGCAGGCTGACCCAGCATTCCACCGTGTGAGGGGGCAGGCCTGCTCTCGAAGGCTATGTTTTTCTCCTCATGGTTAATGGCCCTAATGAGTTAGATAGTATGTTTGTAAACCCCTATTAGCAGTAGGCATTCGACCAGAGATGAGTATTAGTATTACGCCTGCATTCTGGTAGGAAATGTTACACAACCATTAATTAGGTGGATGTGCGCAGGGCGCCCCCGCCAGGTAGCACCTGCCTTCAGAGAGCCCAAGCCTGATAGAGGGAATGTTCTCTGTCCTGGGGAACCCCTTGGCCAAGGGTAAAGAGCGTTCTTGCAGGCTCAGGATGGAGACAAGAGCCCCTTGCAATGCATACATCTAGTAAATATCCACGGGGGCCCTCTGTGTCTACACCGAGCACTGGAGTGGGAGCACAGGGTGTAAAAGTGATCCCCATCGCTGCCTCTGAAGCAAGGTACAGAGCAATGGGATCGTGAGATGTGGAGGGGAGCCCATGAGCGCCATCTTCATAGGCTGGGCCTGGCAGTCACCTCTCTGGATTCCCCCTGGCACTTCCCAGGTACGCCCACCTTCTAGAGCTACCCCTTCACTTGCCTTCTTAGTTCCCTGGGTCAGACTGTGCCTTTCTCTCCTTTCCACCCCCTTTATTATGCTCCTTCACACTGGGAGCGCTGCTTGTGCTTCCTGTCTAGAGGGCAGGGCCCCCTCCCTCTCCCCCTCAATTGTCCATTTCCAGGTCATTTGGAGCACAATGGGTCTCCAGCTGAGTGGGTCTGGGGTGTAGGGGGTGAGGAGGATGGAAGGACCAGTGGGAATCAGAAAGCCAGCCTTGGAGGGCTTCTGGAGGGGGAGAAAGAGGCTGCTTTCAAGTGCTGAGAGCCAGGCAGTGGGAGACAGCATACGCTCTGCTTTCTGAGGGGTCTGAGTGCGGGGAGGAGGCAGAGGTGGGCCTATGCCTGGAGACGTCACCCCAGGCTTTATAAAAGGGACGCAATCAGGGCACTGGTGAGCGTGAACCCTGGAGCCCAGCTCCTCTCTCTGTGCGTGTTCACCAACCCAAGAAGCACCTGGAGACCCGCGGAGCTGCCTACCTGCTGGACAGACCCAAGGTAGGTGCCCGGGGGCATCCACACTTGGAGAGGGGTCTGCCCAGCCCCAGGGAGGCTCCAGAGCTGGGAGAGGGAATGTAGTTATAAGACCAGCGGTTGTAGCCCAGACAGGCAAAGGGGGCGATGATCCTTCCTGATATCAGATTATTCTGGGATTAGTCAGTGAATACCCTGACTCAGATTTATGAAACCAGGATCTTACAGTGGAAGGAATAAGAGCAATGAGTGCGTTCTGGCTGGGATGAGAGGTCACGGGAGCTTTTGGAGGGAGCTAGGGAAGCCCTCAGGGCCCATGGGCTCCACAGGACTCCTCCAAGCCGCTCCCCCAACTTCTGGATGGCAAGTACAAGCCTAACCCAAGAGCGCCTATGCACCCTGCTAGACACCTGCACCACGAGCTGGGGGTCACCCCAGGAAGGAAGCCACCTCACTTCCAAAGCTTTCTCGCCACACCTGGAATCTTTTACTGATCAGGTATGTAGCCTGGGGTGGGGGAGGGCGGCACAAAAATTGCCTACAGCGGGTTAGCCTCTCCAGGACCCGTGAAAGCTGAAGGTTCTTTTCCAAACAATTCAACTCTATCACGTGTGTTAAATGCCCGTGCTGGGGCGGGGTTGCGTGCGCATGCTCACCTGCGACGGTGATTTCTATCATGGGGAGGAAGCGCTACGGGGTGCCTGGAGCTTGGAAGAAGGAACATTAACCTTAGACCTACTCACCCCTCACCATCCCACTCTGCGCATAAGCAGCCAGAATGCTTCACCTGAAATGCAACACACACATGCCCTCTTCGGGCTCAGCCTACTCTGGGGTGAAGCCCCCTGTACCCCTTCTCTAGCCTCACCCACAGTCTTTCTCTCCAACAATCCAACAAAGCTCTGTCTTCCCGGCAGGCTAGAGGATGCGGTCCCCTCCTGGCCAGCTCCTGCACCCCTGCTGGAAGTGCCTTCCTTAACCCTGTATTCATGCAGCTGACCAGTGCTCAGGAACAGCGCCCCCTGTGCCAAACCGGCCTGCCCCCCACTCCAGGATGAACCCCCACGGGCTCCCACAGACCCCTGGGCACCCACACGCCGCCAGCCTATCATTTCCAGTGTTATTTTGAAATGGTCGGCTAAGACGACTCCATTTCTTGAGCTAGATCTTGGGGGAGGAGCTGGGAACAGGCAACCCTGGGTCTTAGCACACCTGTGCACTCCTAGCACCTAGCACAGCACTTAGTTCAGGAATGATCTCTGAACTAACGGGGACCGTGTGCATCCATGGTCTGAAGCCACAAAAGAAATGGTTTTACACTGCTCTCTCTAATGAACTGATCCTGCCTCTCTCCTCCATACCCACCCAGGGCTTAAAAGCAGGTGCAAAAACTTGTCTGGGTTTCAAGAGTGTCACAGCATCAAAGTCTGTAAGGAAAAACGACTATCTGAGGGGACAGTTGGTGTCCAGTCTGATGCAGTGCTCTTAGTTCACAGAGGAGCAATATGGTCCAGAGATGGGGGTGACTCACATCCCACTGGGAGGGGGGCAGAGCTGGAGCCAGATTTGAATGTTTTTTCTTTTAATGTTTATTTTTGAGAGAGACAGAGCATGAGCAGGGGAGGGGCAGAGAGAGAGGGAGACACATAATCCGAAGCAGGCTCCAGGCTCTAAGCTGTCAGCACAGAGCCCGGAGCGGGGTTCAAACTCATGAACCGTGAGATCATGACCCGAGTGGAGGGTGGACTCTCAACTGACTGAGCCACCCAGGCGCCCCAGGATTTGAGCGTTCTTGATCCCATTTCTGGAGTCTTCCTCTCTGCCTCAGGCCCAGGTCCTGGAGGGTGCAGGGTGGGGAATGAGGGTGGGGGCAAGAATAAAGGGGTAGACAGGGCTAAACAACCATTCATTAGCAGCTGCTGGGCACCAATAGCCCCGCCCCTTCCACTTGCCCCTTGAACCACAGAGGCTCCAGTGGACACCCTTTTCGTCCATCCTTTTGACCTGCCTCCCCATCAGTTTGTCCTTAACCACATTTATTGGACAATATCAAAGTGCTGATGGCGTTTTTTTAATGATTATTTCTTTTGAGAAAGACAGCACAAGCAGGGGAGGGGCAGAGAGATAGGGAGAGAAAATCCCAAGCAGGCTCCAAACTGTCAGCGCAGAGCCCGATGCAGGGCTCGATCTCACAAACCATGAGATCACGACTTGAGCTGAAACCAAGAGTTGGACTTTTAACCAACCGAGCCACCCAGGCGTCCCCTTGAGACTTCTCCAAAGAGAAATTCAACTTGGGAGCTGCGAAAGCTGGGGTGGGGGGCGGGGAGCTGAGAGGGTCAAGGCAAAGGGGGTGAAATGTGGGTCAGGGTCCACAGCCCCCATCCCAGCAGCCAAAACCACCAGATCAATTCAGTGCATATCCCCTTGGAGCCCATGAAGAATAGAATAAGGTAGCAACTGACCTGATAAATCAGGGAAAGTTTTTTCTCTTCCCTGTGTTATAGGCAATTTAATGCCAGTCCTCAGGGCTGTGCAGGGTTATGAGAGCTAACAAGATGATTCCTCTTTCTTACTTGGAAAAGGAAAAGAACCAAACCTCTGTTGCAGCAGGAAGGAACTGGGCCAGGGTCAGGACGTGTCAGTCTAACGGGAGAGTTGGGCACAGGAAGTGAAGGATTTCTGCCAAGCCCAGCGTGGAGCTCCCAGGCTCCAGAGATGTCTGGACCCCAGTGCCCTCCACTCAGTGGAACCCCCTGCCCTGCTTCGCTTCACCCCTCCCTCCTCAGTGCCACACACCGCCCCCCACGTCCAGGGCTTTCTTCTCCACCCTGGGCTCTGCCCCAGCACCCTGCCCACACCCTGCGCCTGACTTAGTCCCCTCTCTTCCCTTCTGTCTTAACCTCAGGACACTGCCAGTTCCCGTCTTCTGACCAGGATGAACTTACTGGTTTCTTGGCAGCTGCTGCTTTTCCTCTGTGCCACCTCCTTCAGGGAGACATTTGAAAATGTGGCACCCATGGAGAATCCGAGATCTGCAGGTATGCATGGTCCGGGAGGAAGGGGGGAGCATGTGAGCCATTACAAAATAAGTTACCATGTTTCTCAGATTCAGGCTGGTCTATCAATGTGAGTTAAATACTGCACTTAATGAGAACCTAAGACTAGCACATGCACCTCATTTAGGAGCCACAATGATCTTGCAAGTAAGGGATGGCTTACTGCTGTTCTGGGCATCAGAAGGCTCGCCCAGGTTCAGGTGCTTGTTAACCACTGAGCTCTTAATGGTCTCCTCGCATTGTGTTCTCTGCTCTGTGCCAAACGCCTGTGTGAGCAGATCCGCTAGGAAGGAACTGGCTATGCAAGCTTCTTTTCTCAGGGATCTCAGACCCTTTGTGTGGAATTTGGGGGAAAAAAAGACCTAAACAAAAGGGCAGATCCTTAATATCTGCCAACCTTATGAATTCACTGTGAAACTGATCAGCTGGAGAAACTGAGGCCCAAAGAGGTAAAGAAACTCCCGAAAGTCCATCAAATGCTGCCCGGCAGGTGCAAGAGCTGCCAAGAGCATGTCTCTGAGTGGCATGAGCTAGTCGCCGACACAGGTGTGGGCTTCACACTGCATGGCGGTCAGGTTCCCGGGCACACTAGATGTGGCTTATTCTCTCCGGCCCGCAGTTCCTCTCTAGCCATGGAACTTGGAGTGTACCCTCTACACGTGCGATATCATTGAGCCCATAAGATATCCCAGAGCAAGGAGAAGGTGGCCCCCAGTGTCCTTGGCCAATAGTGTCTTCTCTCCTGGAATCTGGGTGTTCTTCCTGGGTGAGGGAGGCTCCCCCAGAGAATAACCTCACAGCTTCCCCAGGGACATTGACCTGTTGGCTCTTTTTGGCAAATGGCTCTAAGTGAGGCCACACACAGTAGCCTGAGCAGTAAGGGATGCCGGGATGATGGGTGTAACTGGGAAGAAAGCCATCATTCCTTCCCTGCCTCGGCCAGGCCCTAAGCAAGACGGGAGGGGCCTTGGAGGAAGATTAGCATTAATTCTGAACCATGCCCACACTCCTTCTCCGAAGTATGCCAAGGCATTGAGGAGCAGGGCTCAAAGCCAACTACCTCCCTCAACACACCCACTCACACACCAGGCCTCATTTCCACTAATCTCGTGCCACAATTGGCTGGGGTTCCTGTCTACTCAGAGCTAGTCGCACTATTTTACTGCCAAACATTACAGTGAATTTAACAAGCTTTGCATGTGAAGTGCCCTCCTAATTAGCCTTGTTAGCCCTCAGTGTGAAGGGAAGAGATTATATCTGTGGGGGAGAGGGGGTTGAGCAGGTGAAGGTGACCCAGATAATTTCCCATTCTTCACTGAGTCCCTCTGCAGTTTATTAGGGGTCGCAGTAATTGGGGAGGGGTGCGGGGCACAGTGGTCTTCGACTCTCGTTTTTGCAACTACAAACTTTTCATTTGCTTTGATACATTTAACAAGCATTTGAGGCCCTACTACGTGCAGGTGCAGATTGCTGTTTCAAGCACTCGAGATAGAACTGAATGAACACGGCCCCCACCGGCCCCAAGGAGCTCAGTCCTGGGGGAGCCCTGAGGCAGAGACAGGACAGAGGGCCAGGCAGTGAGCCAAGAAGTGCAGCAAAGCTGAGGGTCCGGCAAAAATTGCGGGCTGATTTCCAAGCTCTACCCCGTTTGCTTCCGAAAAGGAAGTGATTTAATGTAAAAGACATTTAAGATCATTCTGGAAAACATCTGAAACCAGAGCCATGTTGAAAGGGAGAGGAGCCAATGACCTAACCACCAGAGCTAAGATGGTCTGCTGGGGGTGCCCTGCATTGGGCTCTGGGCTTCCTAGAGTCCAGGGACAACGAAAGGGAAGCACAGGATAGGGATGCGAGCAGGTGTCCCAAAGCCGTCTCTCCTGGCCTCACCGCAGCCTCTCCCTGTGGCTCTGTCCTAGGCCAGCGGCTGGGACCCCAGGCTCTGCTGGCCCCGTGGGAGCAGAGCCCACGGTGCGCGGAGAGGAAGCCCGCCGGAGCTCAGACCAGCAAGCGAGGGGCCTCGCTGTGCAATCTTCCCGAGAGCCCCGCGGAGCCCCAGCGGCCAGGCCTGTGCGCCCCTCGCAGCCGCAGCCGCCTGATCCCCGCTCCGCGGGGCGCGGTGCTGGTTCAGCGGGAGAAGGACCTGTCCACCTACAACTGGAACTCCTTCGGCCTGCGCTACGGGAAGCGGCAGACGGCGCCTCCCGGAAACATCCGCGGAGGTGCTGCGCTTGGCTGAGCGCCAGGTGCAGGATGGGGATGTGGGAGGGGGGCATGAATTTCAAACCCCAGACTAGGAGTCTGAGCTGGGGTGTGGCGGGTAGGGCATTGGGAGGGAGGCTGGAATTTGTCCTGAAGCAATAAAGGAAATGCACCTGAGTGTGATTGCGGCTAATTTTTGCATGCAGCACCGCTAATTAGATTGTTTTCCTTCGCTCCTCAATTGGATCTTTGGTTGGATTTAAGATGACTTTAGTGCTATCAAACTCAGTGCTTTTCACACCAGAGATAGAAGAACCAGATTGTTTTCCCCCAATCTGGGGCAGATCACTACTTAAAAACACACACACACAATGAATCACTGAAAAACTGAAAATTTTAAAAATAAAGAGAAACCGGAACTGGATGCTGCTTCAGTGTTTCAGCAATATCAAATTTGGAAATTTTATATTGGAAATTAAAATTGCTGAAGCCGTCCTCTTAATTCCTAGACTTAGCTCATTGCCTGCAGGTTACAACATTTTGCAGAGGGGCCCGACCCCGTGGCCCACGCTTTTGAGTAGCACTGGTCTAGGCCAGGGAAGACAGCTGAAGGACCTTCCCCTTTCCCGGGGAAGTTTACAGCCAGTTGGACAGCTTGATCTGGAACATGATGCCAACCCCTACCCTGTCCACTGTAGCTTAAAGATCACTCCAGCCCCCAGCCAGACCTCTGCTGGGGCACCCAGCCCCAAGGTCCTGAAGCCCCAGTCTGTGTGCAAGAGTGGCCTGGGCCACCCATCCCCCTCTCCTAGGGACAGCCCTGGGTGCGGCCAGTTCTCTACCTGGATCGCTTTTCTGCATCCTTGTAATCACTGGGCCTGCAGTAGCCCCATTTTCAGGTGAGAACCCTGAGGTTCAGAAAGATACATAACTCACTGAAGGCATGCGGCCAATGAATGGTGAGCCTAATCAGTCTCCTGACACCAGCACCTGACCCCCACTTCACTGAGAGGGAAGTGTTTCCATCTGAATCAGCCGTGGTGAACATCAGGAAAGGTCAGTCTGCCCTGTGGGGACATTCTTGGAGGCCCCCAGTAGCTGGGGAGTTGGTTTCTGTACTAAGAAGTAGAGGCTTGTCAGTAGGGAAACGGACAGGAAATCCACACCCTTCTGCCCACAAGAAGATCCAAAGCTGATGGCCTCTGGAGGCTCCTTTCCTGCTTGGTCTAGGATGGAAGTATTCTTTCCCAGAATGAGTATGAGGCCACCACCATCCTGAGAAGCACCACAGTGTTTCCACCATTACAGAAGCGGGACTCCGTTGAATAGAGGGCAAATGTGTTGCTATAGCAACGAGATAGGCTGCCATGGGAACATGACAACCTTCCCCACCCCCATCTCTACCCTGAAGCCGTCTTCCAGGATCTTTCAAATTTTCTCTACTGCTGTGAGCTCCTGTCACAGCACGGCATGCCCGGGGGACGCTGTTGATATCTGGAAGGCAGTCATCCCCCAAACAGCCTAGGCTGCGTCCCTATACCTCTGGGAAAAGAGTCATAAACTCAACGCCTAGCTGTTAAGTGAGTTATTCTACTCTCTGGGCCATTTCCTTTCTCTGATGAAGACTGTGAGTGGGAAGAGGCTGAAGGGTCTCTGAAAGGTGCTCTTTGGCAGCCCAGTTTTACAAAATTCCCTCCGCTGCTCCACCACCCCCTCACCCTTCCTCACAGCCTTAAGTTTAAACGGCAGATAGGAGCTAGCAGCATACACCTGTGTGTTTGCGTGTTCGTGCACGTGTGCAACTTCAGGGGCACGGTTCTCTCTCAGAAGCAGCAGGCCTGTGTGGGAGAGGGCGTGGTGTCAGAGGTGTAAGAGCACTAAATGTGAACGACTGTGTGCATGTTCATACATATATGTCTGTGTGACCCTGCGTGTGGTATGGGCCCGTCCATCTGCAGGCTTTATCAGTCCCTTGGCTACCCAAGTGCCCTCCAGGACGTCTGTCCTGGGTGATGTAGAGGCCCCACTTCAGCAGGCAGCAGGAGGGGAGTTGGGCCCCATGCCTCTTGCCCCAGGACGACTGCCTGGAAGGCTCTGGGCTTTACAGTTCTTGGCCCCGTGTTTTGGGAAAAGGTGGTTTCACACGGCTCCCAGCCTGACTTCGAACCTGCTCCCCAGATTGGAGGGAAGGTTCAGGGCCGGATGGAGGCTGTGAGGGGCTATAAACACTCCTGGCCCCAGGGGCTCCCATCTGCCTCTGCAGACCTTCTGGGTGCGCTCAGACAGCCAGGACACCAGAGCGCAAAGCCCTGGAGGTTAGGCTGCGGCACTCAAGCCCTCTCCTCCCTGGGATCTGAATAACCAGGAAGGCCTGGGCGTCCCTCACAGGAGGAAGGGAAAGGGGGAGGGTCTCTTCCCAAGTCCCACCTATTTTGGGAAGCCTGTTAACCTAGCAGGGGGGGGTGGGCTCACACCTGTTCTGGGAAGGAGTAGAGGGGCAGCTCTGCCTCTGGGATCACTCTTAATATACTAACAAGAAATGTGTGAGCACCTACAGTGTGCTAAGCTGCCCCGTTTCGTCCTCACAGCAACTGCAGGAAGTGGGCAATGTTATCCCCATGGTGCAAGAGAGGAAACTGAGGCTGGGAGAGGGGAAGTGGTGTGTCCAAGGTCACACAGCAGGAAGTTACAGAGCCAAGAGGCAGACCCTCACCTTCTAACTGCAAACCCACAGGCTTTCCCTTCCCTCTGGCCCCCGCCAGTGTGTCAGGCTGACCCTTTTCCTGAAAGATCTGTCCTGGGAAGTAGGTCCGGCAGCCAGTGGATAGAGTTACACCCTATCCCAGTTCCTCTCCAGACTGTGTTAATAACAGTGCAGGTGAAGTCACCGAGGCCCAGAGCAGGCCTCCTCCCCTCCAAGTTCCTGTCAAGGGCCGAGCACCTGAATTTTGCCTCTGTCGTTCTCTTTCTCTCGGGGAGCAGCTTCCTTCCCCAGTTCAGTACTTGGTCACAGGGAGTGAAGGGTGTCAGGTCCAGGGAGAGCTAGAAAGCCCTTCCTTACCTTCAGTGCCGTCTTCCTTTTTTTTTTTTTTTTAATTTTTTAATGTTTTATTTATTTCTCAGAGAGAGAGGCAGCATGAGCAGGGGAGGGTCAGAGAGAGAGGGAGACACAGAATCTGAAACAAGCTCCAGGCTCTGAGCTGGCTGTCAGCACAGAGCCCGACGCCGGGCTCTAACCCATAAACTGAGATCACGACCTGAGCCGAAGCCGGATGCTCAACCGACTGAGCCACCCAGGTGCCCCACCGTCTTCCATTTTAAAGACATCAGAGCCCAGCAGTTGGCTTGGAGCAGGGAGCCTGGTGGGGGCGGGGGGGGGGGCGGGCACAGGGTGGGGAGTCAGGACTTGCAGCCCTCAAGGCATCCCTTCCCCAGAGAAAAGATCCCAAAGAAAGATCTCAGAGGGATGCCTGGGTGGCTCAGTCAGTGAAGCCTCCCACTCCTGATTTTGGCTCAGGTCATAATTTCAGTTTGTGAGTTCGAGCCCTGAGACACCATTTCTCAGGGCTCAAGCCCTGAGTCAGGCTTCACTGTGAGTACAAAGCCTGCTTCAGATTCTCTCTCTTTCTCTCTCTCTCTCTGTCCTTCTCCCCACCTTTCTCTCTCAAAGTAAATAAAACTTAAAAAAAAAAAATGGACCTCAGATACTGACATTGGAGGGAGGTGCCTGCCCTAGTCCATCCAGGCCGGTATGACAAAATATCACAGACTGGTGGCTTATAAACCACAGAGGCTGAAAGTCCAATATCAAGGGGCGCCAGATTCCCTGCTTGGTGAGGGTCCACTTCCTGGCTCCTGATGGCTGTCTTTTCGCTGTATCCACACATGGTGGGAAGGAGGAGGGACCTCTCTTGAGTCTCTTTCCTTAGGGGACTAATCCCACTCATGAGGGCTCTCCCCTCATCTCCTAATCCCCTCCCAAAGGCCCCACCTCCAAACACCATCACTTTGGGGGTTAGAATTTCAACATCATTTTGACAGGACACAAACATTCAGTTTGCGAAGTGCCCCAGGGAAAAGCCAGCTCAGAACCTCAGAACCTCCATCTAGATGGAGTGAGCCAGCCCGAGTCCTGCTCTGCACACTGAATCTCTGGATCATTCCACCGGTCTATCAGCCATGAACCGAGAGCCAAAGAGTCCCAGGGTTTTGAAGAAAACCTCCAGTCTGGATGGAGGCCAAACCAAGCAAACACAAAGAAAACAGACACCAATTTTTTTTTTTTAAAAAACCTAGTCTGTAATTAATATCCTCAGGGGACATAAGAGAAAATTCTGCATCCATAAAACAAGTAGGCGCAATAAACAAAGGGATAATCAAAGAATCAGAAAGGGCTCTTGGAAGTAAAAAACATACGGGAGAAAAAATTTGTAGAGAAATTGAAGAGTTGGAACCTAGAGTTAAGGAAATCTCCTAGAAGGTAAAAGAGAAAGAATTCAGGAGAAGGGCGCCTGGCTGGTTCAGTCAGTAGAGCATGTGACTCTTGATCTCATTGTGAGTTTGTGCCCCATGCTGGGTGCAGAGATTACTTAAAAATATACAATACTTAAGAAACAAACAGAAGTTGCAAAATGCTACTAATAGGAGTTCCAGAAGAGAGAAGAAAAAATAGGAAAGAAATGACCAAGGAATCAATGCAGGGCAATTTTCCAGAATGGAAGGACACAAATTTCCAGATGGAAGGCGTCCTCTGAGTGAGTACTCAGCACAAGAATGGAACAGATCAGGGCCAGGGGCAAAGAAAAGGTGGCCAAAGCCCACAGAGAGAAATCCACAAGAGAGTCGGAACTCTGGTGGCACCAGACTTGTTAAAATCGGAAAAACAACCGCCAATTTCAGAGGGAAAATAAATTTCAGCCTAGAATTGGATTCACACCCAAACTATAAAGAGTACGAGTGGAATGGAAACATTTGTAGACATGCCAGGACTGGAAGGGTTTCCTTGTCAAGCACCCTTTCTCGACAAACTGAGAGCAC